GTCATCCAAGCAGGACTGTTCAAAGCCACTGGCTGAGGTAACCTCATGCAGAGGAAGTCTTCCAGAATCAAAACACTGTGGTTTTGTGTGTGTGTGTGTGTGTGTGTGTGAGCGTGTCTTTTTTCTACTCCTCAGAGCACTTGCATCCTTGACTGTATTCCATAACTCCACCCTTTACTCTGACAGGGTTCCCAAACTTTGCTGCACATTGGAATCCCTAGAAAGCTTTTAAAACTCATGCTGCCCAGGTCACACCCATACCAATTAAATCAGAACGTCTGGGCAACCAGAGCCAGGCAACAGTTGTTTTTTAATAACCTCCAGGTGATTCCAATATGCAGCAAAATTTGGAACTACTACTTCATGGCCAATCTGACATAGAACATAGTGCCTGCTACATGGCTGACATTCCTTGTATATTTGTAGAATAAATGAAAGAATCTAGCCTCAGATCAAAAAGTCTCCTGGCTACTGGAGTTCAATTGTAGTAATTTTTTGCAGTAATTTCTCCAATACTCACTCCCTCAGATAACATAGAGACAAGTGTTAAACCACATTAGTTACAGATAAATCAAAACAACAACACCATGCTGTTTTTTAAAAGAAATATTGAATTACAGATAAAATATGCAATGATAAAAACCCATGCTAGTGAGAATGTGCTAAGATGAATATGCTCATACACTGCCTGTGGTATAGCCTTGTTGAAAGGCTCTTAGCTCATATGTAACAAAAACAGGCTCCTTGACCCAGTAAGTATATATTTTTAAATCAATCCCAAAAAAATAATTGAAACTTAAGAAAAGAAATTATTGTTTAACCACCTTATTTCTAACATGATGAAATGGAAAGGTTCAAAAGTCCAGCAACAGGGTATGTTTGAGTAAACTATGAAATAGCAGCCCAATAGTATATTAAGCAGCAAATAAAAATTACCAAGTATGAAACGTTTGAAATAAATATGAATATTTATAAAATATGAATATTGCATAAAATATGAACATATTTTATTAGAATTAAAGTTAGACTCCAATTCTTTTATTGTACTCTTCTCTTTTTCTATTTCTAAATCATTCTTTGGAAAAAATATCACATTCATAATGAAAAAACAAAATAAAAATTATATCACTGAGAGGGCCGTAATGTAGGTCTAAATTTACACATTAAGACAAGTTGATGGCACCTAAAATGGGAAACAAACTGTGTTTCACAAAGGAAATTCATCTATGCAAGGCCCATTTTTGTTTAGCTCTGTCACAACTACACAAATACTCTCAGAATTTAGCACGAGTGAATTCACATTGAGGTCCAGAGAAGTAGCAACCATTTTGGATTTGAATCAAATAGGATTTGGATGGAAGCTTGAATACGTTTGGATTTGAATAAGAGGAAAAATTTTGGCAGGAGTTTTGAAATCTCAACGTTTTGAACAAAGAAATGGAGGGAAAGAGTGAGGCTGGCGTGTCACGGAAGCAAGTGAAAGATTAGCTTAGCCAGAGGGGAGGGCCAGTGCTGGGGAGAAATGGCAAATTATTTTGGACAGGGAGACTGAACCTAGATGGCAGCTAGCCTTAGCAAAACTGTCTGAGCTTTATCCTAAAATAATGGGGAATCATCTAAACTACTTGATTAGGAAACAGATAAGGGTCAAAGAACACCTTGTGAGGATAGTTTGGATGTTGGTTTGTATAATACTTCACAAGGTGGAGGGATGAAAGACACACAAATGATCAATTGGGAAGCAAAGGCAGTGATCCAAAAATGCAAGAGTGACTTACAAAATTCAATGCTAATCATGTTGCCCCATTGTTTAAATGCTTCTGTGAATTTCTTTGATCTCACAATAAACAAAATACTCCTTAACATGATGTACAAGGCCTTACATGGCATAACCCCTACCTACATTTTCAGCACCCCTACTCTGTACCCTATTCCCTCTAAATCTGCACCTTGCTTCTTACAACCTCCTCTCACTATGCTACCTCCAATCATAAGGCATTTGCACAGACAGAATGCTGCCTGGAATGCTCCTTTCTGGCCTCTTTGCCCAATTAACTCCTGCTTATACTTTATATTTCAATTCGAGTATCACTTCCCAGAGACACTATCTTCCTCTTCCCTAATCCTCTTACTATAGGCTTACATAGCATCAAGTGCCTTTCAGGGCATTGCAATTGTTTGTGTTGAGATTATATATTTCTTTGGATTACTATTTGATAACCTTTTGTCATTTTTCTCAGACCCATGACAGCTGAATTTATGTTTTACCTTTCTTTCATATCTCTACTGCCTAAAAAGTTTCCTGGCACCCAGTATGTACTTAATCAATAGTTTTTGAATGTATGCATGATAAATAAGGAGTAGAATAGGGTGGTAGGGGTACAAATTAAAGAGAAAGGATGAAAGGGCGAGACATTTTAAAAGAAGAACCAATAGGAACAAGGAGAGTGATGAGTAAAAGATGATGCCAAAGATTTTTGTTGGGATATTTGGGAGTGGTAGTGCCATTGACCATAATAAGGGGGAACATGGGTGAAGGGGAGCAGGTAGATTTAATGTTGTAAAGTTTAGAAATACATCAGACTCAGAGACACAGATTTGAGAATTATCTACATAAAGATAATGATTAAAATAAGAATCAAGAATATCCCACGCTGTGTGTATATATTCATATTTCCCTCATATTTCCTTATAGAGAAACCTGCACTTAAAATAGCATTCGTGATGTGTCTTACTCATTTCTCACCCACGCAGGAGCAGGGGTTTTTTTTGACTGGGAGTGACAGTGACAGTGACATTCGCTGGTTCACGTTTTTCCACTGGGTGAATCTTATATGTTTAAAGGCTGAAAGATATGGAGATTCACCTCCCTCTTTTTTGGGAGACAGTAATTCTGGGTGTGTTGGTCCTACAGATCCAATTTGTTACCTTGAATAGGTTCTGTCAATCTCTGAGCTTGGGATAAGTGGAGAGTCAGAGAATACTAGCATCTTTTTGACTGTGGATCTATAGTAACAGTTAATATCCATTTGCTGATCTTCTATGTCTAGTTTTTCAGTTAGTTCAATATTATGCAGTAGAATCAAATGATGTTATATATTAGCCCCCAGGACCCCAATATTCTAGAAATGTTTAGAAGGAAAAGTGTAAAGGTGAAGGATAATAGAGCAGCCAGTGAAACAGAGAAGTAATCCTTGAAAATGTTTGAAGATATCAAGAATTTTCCAGTGTCAAGGAGAGCAGGGAGAAAGAGTTCACAAAGTACATGGGAGAGAAGCCCAGGTCATAATCTACCAAGCAGGCAAGGAGTCTGAACCACTGGGTGTGGTGATTAGGTGCCTGGTTACCTGTAAAATTTTATTCTACGTGAAATCGTCAAAGAGGAAGCCAGATTTCAGGAGGCAGTAAGGAAACAGAGGCAGTGGGTCCAGATTATTTGTTGTAGAAGTTTGAGAATCAATAATGTGAGGGGGCTAGAATACTGGCTGGAGGAGGTTGCAAGGTAAAGCCTGTTTTGTTCTATTTTGTTTTCCCAAGAAAAGGAAGATCAGCGCACACATTTCATGATAAAGAACCCATAGAAGTATGAATGAATGAAGAGGCCAGAGTGAGGAGAACTTGTGTATGGGGGTAGATTTTGAAAGATGGAAGAGAGTGAGAAGGTGAAATGGGCAGTAGCGTCAGCCTTGGAGGAGCCATCTTCCTTCAGTGGAGAGAGAAGGGCGAAGGTAGATACAGCAACCTATGAAAGCAGAGAAGAGAAGCTGGCGCGGTCCCCTACCAAGGGGAAGTTGAGAGAAAGAGCCAGTGAGAGAGATCAATCAAAATATAATGTTCTTGAGAAGGCTGATGACTCTCACTTTATCTGAAAATAAGTGCTGTTTCCTCTTTAATTTAGCTTCAGTATCAAAGTCTATCTTTTAGATTATGGAGTAAGTGAGAAGTGTACTAAAATAGAACACACTAACCCAATTGAAAAGCAGAGTTTTAGGAGATATATATATGAAAGGACCTGGGCATTTCAATTTGGAAGTCCAAACTCCCATGAGAACAAAGCTTAATCTTGAAGTTGAAAGGCGATCTTAAGTTTCCTGCCTCCAGGAAAGGTGACTTGCATTCCCCTCACTCTCTCTATCCTCCCCACCACCCCTTCTTCCCTTTCCCTTTGGGAAAAAATAGGAAGGACACAAAACACTTTTATTTTTCTCTTTTAGCAGCCAAAATATCTTATGAATATGGCTCCTTTTTAACGAATCCTATACCAGAGCAAGGAAAGTGGTGCCAAACCCACTGATTGATCCGGTGCCATGTTTTGAAGCTGAACTAAGTCAGGGGGCACATCTAAGCAGCATAGCCTGAGAAAAAGGCAAAATAGAAAATTAATCCCAGGAGGTTTTTCTCATGGCCTAGCTCTTGTTCAGTGAAAATCAGCAATGTGTTATGTCCCCCCTTTTTTATGGGAAAGATGAAAACGTTTCAAAATATAGAGTACAATAGTTGTGTATTGAAAACAAAAGGCAAAGCAATGTAGTAGATGGCAAGATTGGTTACATATAAAATCATTCATTTTAATAATCATTTTATCAAAATAACTTGAAGCACAGAAGAATAAAGTTTATTAATTATTAATTTTCATTTGTTCCCATTTTAAAAATAGGAAAATGGGGGACCAAGAGGAATAAGATAATTCAATTGTTTTCCTTGAATCAGCAAGTTAGTATCAGTTGAAAAGGAACTTCTTACCATGAAAACAGGAATAAAAGGAGTTACAGAGGGGTGGCAGCTACTCACAGGATGTGATAATAAAAATGAGTTCCAATTTATGTCTTTTACTTGCTAGACATTGCACTAATTATTATATTTTTTTGTGTTTTTTAATGAAACATTTCAAACATTCAGAAAAGTTTACGTAGTTTATGTATGTATTTAAATATATGAGCTTATATATATCATTATAAACTTATGGATTTAAATGTATTTGATGTGTTTCAATCTATTAGGTTGTTATTCTTATTCATACTCCACTTATCCTACTTTTTGGCCAGTAGAAGCGTCTTCACATTGGTTCCTGGATCTTTTTAATGTAAGTTAAATTATCATGGTTGGTTTCCTTGGTTCTGGTGTGATAAGATGTTCCAGGATCATCTCATACAAGTTTTGACCCAGAGCTAGAACTAGCTATTTTTTCCAAAGTGCTTTGGTTCCTTTCAGGGGGAAATGGGATTTAGAGACCAAAATTTGATCAATAGGAGTTGCTTTATTGCCACCAGGTTGGTCATTGTTTTTAGGCCTTTTCAATGGATAGAGCTAATTTTTCTTTTCTTTTAGAGAAAACCCATCATAAATTCATACTGACATTCCAATTCAAAGTGAGGAATCCAAGGTTTTTACTTAATCTCTTTGGTCTTACATCTATACCTCCTTTCTCTAGTGCTGAAAAATCTTTCACTTACATAACCTACAGTACCTCACACTCAACATATTCAAAATTAAAGCCCTGATTGCCTCTCGCATACCCCACACCTGGTTTTCCTTCTTGTTCCCTCTTCCAGTGAAAAGGATCACCTTGCATCCATCCAGGCATCGGACTGGAAGCTTGGAAGTTATTTCATTATTTACCCTCTCTTTCATATGCACATTAAATCAGGTCCAAGTGCAATGTATTAATACGGGCTCTCGCTGAAATCCTCTCCCTCCTCCCTTTCCTTAGCTGCTGTCTTAGTTCAAGCCTCATTGTTACTTATTTATTTCATGCAATTGACATGCCCTACCTCTGGATTCATATCTCTCTAATTGCCTCTCCGCATTGCTGTCAGAGTGTATCTCCCAATCTCTGAACAGATGTCATTTCCTTGCTTAAATAAGGATCTTTATTGCCATCTTCTTTTGATATCCTCTCCATTCTGTATCATCTTTAAGATTTCAGACTCCTCTACGCAATATAAGCCCTTCCTAATCCTTCTTCTTTTACCTGCCTCTGCTTATGACACACAATTTTACATGTGCTCGATGAATTATAATTGTCTGGGAGCCTTCCCCGATAACCTCCATGGGGATGGGACCCTTCCTGGGTGTGCACATAGTTTTCTATGTTTAACTCTTACTCCACTCATTTTACTTTCTATAGTTACCGCTTTCATGGTCATGGTTTTATTCCTCTACTACACTGTACACCTTTAGAGCAGAGATTGTATAGTTAAGAACCAATCTTTGATGTTAAACACACTTAGGTTTACATTCTAGCTTTGTCTTGTCCTAGTTGTGAGATTTGGGGCTACTTAACCTCTCTCAACCTCAGTTTCCTCATCTGTATACTGGCCAACCTACCACATAGGGCTGTTGATAGGAAATTAAATGAGGCAGTACCTATAGAGTGTTTGGTAGAACTCCTAGCTCATAAGAGCTTTTGATAAATATAAACTGTTAGCACTATCATCTATGTCAATAGAGGATTAATGGAGGGAAAATGAGGGCAAAGTCAGCCTTCAGGGGAGGCAATCTTATCACCAAAGGCAGGTACTGAAACAGGAAAAGCAGAACTTGGGGCCCACTGGGAAAAGAAGCTGCAGGTCAGCAAGTGGCTCCCCTAATTAGACCAGGAGTAACAGCTAAACCAGACCCAAGGGGCATCTCTCAATTGAGGCTGTCAGGAGGTGGCTGAGAAGCTAGGTAAAGAAAAGTAGGACACACAAGGGACAGTTTTCAGAAAAGTACTTTTTACACAGCTCTTCTGTATTGAGGGTGCTTGAAGTCACATGACTCCTTTAAGAAGCAATATTAAAAGTAGATGCCTAGTGTTATAGGTAGAATTATGTCCCCCTAAAAGATACAGTGAAGTCCTAACCTTCAGTACCTCAGAACGTGACATTATTTGGAAATAGGGTCTTTACAGAGGTAATCTATTTAAGATGAAGGCATTAGAGTGGGCTCTAATCCATATGACTGGTGTCCTAATAAAAGGGGGAAATTTGGACACAGAGACAGACATGCACAGAGGGAAGACGATGTGAAGATGCACAGGGAGAAGACGGCCATGTGCTGGAGTGATACATCTATGGGCCTAAGAATGCCAAGGATTGCCATCAAACACCAGAAGCTAGAAAAGGTGGGGAAGGATTCTCCCCTAGAACCATCAGAGACAGCATGGCCTTGCTACTACCTTGATTTCAGAGATGAAGCCTTCAAAACTGTAAAATACATTTCTACTGTTTTAAGCCACATGATTTTTGGTGCTTTGTTACAGCAGTCCTAGGAAACTAATATATCTGGTGATATAAAATAATAGCCAGTTCTTTCCAACTATGTAATAACCTTTAGACACTGGGCTAATCACTTTTCATGGATTTTCACATTGAATCCTCACACTTCTTTGGTTCGGGCACTTTTATGTCCATTTTATAAATGATACTATTGAGGCTTAGTGAGGTGAAGCTACTTGCCTGAGAACACACAGCTGGTAAAGGGCAGAGCCTAAATTTGAACCCACTCTAGCTGCCGGAGAACACATGCCCTCAATCACTGCCTACTGCCCCCTGATGCATCCATAGCACACTGGAACTTTACAGCAAATGTGGATCAAAACCCAAATTCAACGGTATTATCATCTTAGTAAAGGATAGGTGTCATCTCTGTGTCTATGTGCCACCTTCCTGATACAGTGCTGAAGGCAGGCAACTGTGGTACCATGGAAACGAATAAAGTTAGAATGAGATGTTCTGGGTTCAAGCCCAGATATTTTGATTCCAATAGATGTTTGGCTTTGGGCAGACATTTAAGCTCTCAATTTCCTCTCATGCAAAAAAGTCTCCTGATACTCCAGTTCCTTCTTGTATCTCTTTGTAGTTATTCATTCCTCTGTTCATTCAACAAATGTATCCTAAGCAATCACTAAACACCAACAAACAAGATGAGGCATTGGGATTTCAAAGGGGAAAAGACAGCCTCTTAGAACTTCCAGTCCCAATTTCGACACTTGTGTTATATTATTGTGTTTCTGTATATGTTGGTTATTTTTTTTCACTCTTTCCTCATTAGCATGTACTGCAATTAAGAGCACTGATTTGGAAAAGACAGATCTGGGTTTGAGTGTTGGATCCCCATGTACTGTTTATGTGACATTGGGCAGGTTATCTCATTTCTCTACGTTTAAATTTGTAAAACCGGTATAATAATATTGTCATTTTGAGGGTTAAATAAGATGAGATGTTCAAAGCAAACAGTTCAGTGCTTGGCAAATCAAAAGGCTTAATAAATCTGATATTATTATTAATCATTTGGTACATTTTCTGGAAGATAATAAATACTCAAATAGTTAATCAATTAATGAAATAAGATAATATAATGAAAGCATTTAACCAACTATTGGGTGATAAAATGTAGCATAATTTCTGCAAGATCTGCATATCACTCTCTGTTATCACTTTTTTTTCTAAAGGATAAAATCTGAAAACTGGAATGCTGCTAAATTTTAATTCTCTGGGAATACTGGTGATAAAAAGAGAGACTATCAATATGTGTTCCACAAGTCAGAAAAGGTAACTAAATGTGAATAGCTGGCACACTGAGAGCTTATTTGTACGCGAAATACATTCAGGTTTATCTCGCTGACTGTTTTGCTTGAATCAGCTGCTTAGTTAAAAATTAGTCTGACATCATTTTGACAGATTAAAGCAAACAATAACAATAAAAAACAAAATTGAACAGATTGTTTAGAATAGGTATTGCTGCTTACCTTATTTACTTCTACCTTGACTATCTCTGAAAGTCTAAAATAAATCTATCTGCCAAGAGGCCAGCCTGTATGGTACCTATTCCAGAAACCTTTTATAAGCACTGGCCTAGAGTAGCCCTAATCTGCTTTTCCTGTATTCCTTTCACCACACACCACATTGCAACAGTTATTTGAATACAGGTCTTATTTCTTTTGTTGGACTCCAGAGTTCTTGCAGGAAAAAAAAAAAAATCTATATGATAGGTATTGCTTTTCATGGCGCTTAATATAATGCTTTGCATAGAAAAAATATTTGTTGTATGAATGAATTGAAGAAAAAGTCAGTGGGTGAATACATGAATGAATGAAAAAATGAATAGTTGCCTTTCTGAATCATTATTTAGAAACACTTGCCACAAACGTTACCAATGTCTTGAATGTATGATACTTCCAAATTTTAGAAAAAGTGGTTAATGTTTTTTAGTAAGACAATCTTATCTTGCCCTATATGCCACCATTCACTCACTCACTCATTCAACACTGTTTATTGAGTGCCGATTATATACCAGGTATTATAGGAGGCAATGAAGATCCGTTCTTCACCTGGCAACAGAATGTTCTTTCTAGAGCAGAAAATCTGTGTCTCACCATTATCTTTCTGATAAATTCAAAATATTTTAGCATAGAACACATGCATCTGCCCACCTATCTCCCCTTGTGTTTTGCTCTGTGGATCGCTTGCCCTCATAAACCTATTCTCTAGCCTTAGAACTCCCTGCAATTTCTCACCATCCGATGAACTCTCATGTCTCTTGTCTAGGTTAAGGCATTCCCTTTGTCCTTTTCCCTAATAATTTCTATTCAGTATTTAAAACTCATCTCAAAGTCACCTGCTCTTGGCAATCTGTCTGGGCAAGCAGTCATCCTGACCTCACTTTTGAGTATGCTCTTTGCATCCTGTATTTGTTTCTATCATCACATTTAATGCAATCTATCATAGTTGTTGATTTACCAGTGACTCTTTTCTGTTGGATTGTAAGTTCTTTGATAGGAGGCTCTATGTCTCATTAATCCCAAAGACCTATTACCAGGAAAATCAGAGGTACTCGATAAATTCTTTATGAATGAGGAAAAAAATCAAGGGACATCTTAAAACTAGTCATTTATTATAATTACCAAATTCTTCATTCTAATGGTCATATGCTGTCTAAAATATATTAATAATAATAATACCTGTATTAGTATAATGTTTTATTCTTTCAAAAATACATTTGAACTAGTTAAATGGAAAATTCCTACATAAAAATAAATTATATACATGTAACTCTTAATCATTTCAGGGTGCAGTAGTTACAAGAGCATTTGTGATTTGTAATTTTCCTCCTTCCAGGCACCTGATGGAACTGCACTCTATGTCACCTTGAGGTTGGGCATGGAAGTGTGACATGCTTTGGCCAATGAATTGTGAAGGGAAGCAGAGTGGGCCAGTTCCAGATGGAAGCCTTTAGAAGAGAGTGCTGAATCCCCCTTGACATGACACAATATCGTGCACCCAAGTGAAGTTAGCAAGGAACAGAGCTCACTATTGACCTGAGACGGATATGTCACAGGAGCGAGGAACATAAAACGAGAAAAAGAACAAAACCCAAACTTTTTGTTGCTGAAAGCTACCGAGATTTTTAAGGATTTTTGTTACTGCAACATATTTTAGTCCATCTTGACTAATACCTAAAGTATGTTCACATGTGAGAATTACATAATGGTATTTCTGTATATAATTTATTCTCATCACTAGTTATTATTTAATTTGTGGAAATATCAAAGTTGTGAACAGTAATACATTGTGATGATCATACTGGTTCTGCCTATATCTTTAGCAGGAATGCCTAGGGAAGGAAATTTAGACCATCAATATCAAAATCATGAATTTTGGTGAAAGAAGGGGAGTAGCTGAGAGAGCATGAGGAACAAGATGAGAAGTGCATTTGGTTTGGAAGAGATATACATCTGAAAAGGGTCTGTGTCTAGGGCCCCACTGACTCATGTTGCTCACACTTTTATCTACCTTTTTCAGAAGATAGGAAGAAGGAATAACTATATCAATATGTAATCCAATAAATCTCACTATTTTCAGAGCAGAAGACACTTTATTTATTGAGTGCCAACTGCACAGCTTTAATTAGTGCTGTGTGGATCTAAAAAGGAGGACTGGACAAGGATGTCTGCCCTCTGGATTCTTCTTTCTCCGTTTGGTCTTTGGATCACTATTTTCAGAACTCATTGAGTCAGGTTCAAAATTTACTCAAATTTGTCTGCCCAGCATTTTCATGTAAAAAATATTTTTTTGAAGATATTAATTGGCTCAAGTGGACTAAAACAATGCACTACAGGTATTCTAAGGAGAAAAAAAGGTAAGATTAGTTAATTATTTATGTATTTGTGTATATGCATTTACCCACACAGACACACATAGTGAAAATATCCCCGTAGTCAAATGTTAAGCTTATCTTAAGACCAAAAGAATGAAATAGAAGAAAATCAATGGACATTTCCAAGTTTTCATATCAGTCCCCAGTCTTGGAAAATTTGAATTCAGACATCTTAATAGCTCATCAAACTCCCACACTAATTAAAAACATCGGATACCTTACTTTCACACTTTAATGAACTAGCTCGCATCAACATTTGTTGTGCTTTAAACAACCATTATCTCATATTCTATGCTTTATCTATACTTATGATACTAAATCTCTTCTGAGACTTCATGATACGTAGTCCTGGCTCTCTATAAAACTCAATATATCCAGATATGATTTTCTCATATAACTAAAACGTTCATTACAGACATCCTTTAAATAGCTAACTCCCGATGAATTTAAATGCTGACAGTTCATCAACTAATTGACAGAGAACCTTGAAGGGCAGAGAAATGGTGAAGGTGTTATGAAAGGCTGCCAATTGCAAATCAATCAGAAACACAGATAAAATAGCTCTTCTAATGTAAGTCAATGTAATTAGATTTGCCCTTATTAGATTTGCACATAACTTTTCAGAAATTTACCTAAAGAATAAAAGGCACATATGCATAAAATTAATTCAAAGGTTTAGCATTTGTATGCTCTGCCTCCAGGTTGCAAATTTCTCAAACTAATTCCTAATTTGCTAAACTGTGTTTTTAGTCAAATGAGAGTAACCTTTCTTACACAAAATTAGTTGCATGAACATGTTAAAACATTTATGCATTTCCACCCTCTGAAAACTCCTCTGCCACACCAGATCACCCAGCTTCCATATTGAAGTTTCTCAAATCTACCTTTCTTATTTTGTCCTGTTCTTTGATCTGATCTTTCCAACTCCAAACAGAACATATTTACTAATCCTCAAACCCAATACATCATGTATTCTCTCAAAATCAATTTATGAAACACCAACCTTGTAGGTACTGTGCTAAGTGTGGGAAAGACAGTGCTAACCAAACCAAAATGTCTAATATTATTTAGGTTCCAATCTAAAACCAACTCCAAGTCCCTCTATTGTATTAAAACTCTCCAATTATTTGTCACTTAAAAAAATACTGTAGGCTATGTTCCCTGGAATCATTATTTTAGTTTGTTCTTTCCCCTCATTCGTTATATTTAATCTGCTACTATGTATTACTTCCTTCAGAATTTTTGTAGTATTTATTCATTAATTTAAATCTGTCAAGGACTGTTTAGGCTGTGGAAATATAACAATTAAAAAACAAAAAATGTTTCACTAATAGGGGAAAGAGAGACAATAAATTAAAATAAAGTGGTTAGGAAAACTATGAAAAAGCATTGCGTGAAGAGGATTGGGAGTGTCATTGTGGCAGGTCAATTTTAGTAGTCAAAGAAGGCCATCCTTTGCTCTTTATGGAACATAGAGTATTTCTTGTCCCTTATCATCTTATCTTGCGTTAGTACAATCTGTGGTCTCCCTGACTTCACATTCATCTTCCTATTCGTCTTTTTTAATCTTTCCAGACTATTCTTCAGAAGACACTGAGCATAGTACATATCACACTTTTTATAAAATGACTTCCAATGGATTCTATGCTAAACATCCAGTTCCCAAATTTTTGTCATTGTCTGATCCTCCTTAAGTTACCGCAAACATTCGCACTCCTCCCTGATGCCGACTCCCGAGTTGATCATCTTCTCTCCACGTCTTTGTTCATTCTGCTCCTCTGGCTTGGAATTCTCTACCCTTTCTTTTCAGTATCTTTTCTTCCCTTCACTTAAGCTTCAACCAAGGCTCACTTTTCTCCCGAAGTTTTTCTGTCTAACCTAGTATTTGCAATCTTTTTTCCAAAATTCTGTAATATGAAGATTGAAAACCAACAATTTAGTTCTTCATTCTATCGCAACTTACATCCCTCTCTAATTACTGCACGTTAGTCTCCAGTCTGCCTTCAGCTCGTGGGTTTTCTAAATCAGAACTGACAACAGCAGTGCTCATCATGTGCTACCTTTGCCGCCACCCAACCCCCACCCCCGCCCACCCTGGCCACTCCAGGGCAGGCAGGAAGTTTTCTCCCGCTCTTTTGAATATCCTTTGTTGTCTACAGCAAGGGCTCCAAAGCCGTCTAGTGATTGTGAATGTGTTTTCTGTTTGCTTGTTTTTTGTTTTTAAAGACAGAAAACCCGGAGACTCTTTCTTAGGCTTATAGGTTTCTAATCTCCCTGTTCTAATTAGACCTTGAAGCTCTCTTGAAATCTACCTCTTGTAGCTTCCATATATCACTATCTATCTCCAACGAATAATTTAGTTTCCCACATCAGAAGTTTCCGCTACATAACGAAGTCACAATAATCTAACCCCAGAGGACATTTACATTATTTAGATTGTTTACTTTTATTTTCTTCTGGAACTTCCTTTAATCCTAGAATGCCTTCTAGAATATATAGTTGGTTTGAAATTATAACACATTATAATTTGTACCAAAATCCATCCATTACCTTCCTATGTCCAAAAGTCCTAAAATAAATATTCTTTTAAATTTTGTGTATAAAATCTTGATGACATTTTGTCATCCTTGATAGTCAGTCTACTTGTTCCTGACACCCTTGTACATGGTAAAATTGTGGGCAAATATCTGCCTGTCACCCTTCGCTTTATGAGATGAAGGCAAGCCAATTTCATCTGGCCTAGCTATCTGTAACCACAGACACCAAAGAATTTTAACATGAAAGTGCCCTCTAACTGGGTACATGTGTCCTGTTTTATGTAGCTCATCTGTCCTTGAGTGAATTCTCTTTACCTAATTTTCAAGAGGCACACAAATGGAAAGTAGGATTATTTTTATTTCTGTGTGCTTGGCTACTTCATCCCAATAATATCACATACAGCATGTCCCGTAAAAATAAACAGTTTAAACTTTATTAGGACTTTGCCTAGGGAGACGTAGCATGCTTTATTTCCAAGTCCATTATCACAGCTTCAGAATCTCCCCCTGGTTCACGATAATATACACTGAAAGAGAGAAAAAGCTGATCCCCTGCTTTACTTAGGTTAAATCCTCCCAGGTATAATTAAATAAAATTCTGTTCTTTCATATGTCAGTGTAATTTGTGCCTAACTTTATTTTATTGCTAGTTTAACTTTTGAGTCATTTTAAAAAGGGAAAAATACAAATACTTATAGAACACGTCTTTATTATTGCAAATCCTGTTCATTCTAATTCTATGCTGGATGTGTTAGCCTATACTAGCAAAATGAACCTCAGGGAGCTAGCTCAATCATGTCTAACCTGCTTCCAGCACTTTGCTTGGGGCATAACAAATCCTTGAAAGATAAATGTTAAATGAGTAAATAAATAAATGAATGCAAGTTAGTTTTGTTTAAATTTAATGTTTCTTTATTAATGACTTTTCAGGTTATTTTTTCAAGTACGTACTAATGTTTAATCATTAATGACCATACTTGAAATTGGGGGAATATTTTGAAGGAAGCATTTCACCACTAGCAAACTTGAAATAAATTCTGAGATTTCGGGTATCATAGACACATTTCAGAACCCAAGGCTACGTCTAGGTTAAAAATAAAAGGAGAAAAAATGATCAAATATTGAAATAATAAGTTGTCTTAATGTCCTCATCAATTTAGCAATTAGATTTTTGCATCAATCAGATCAAAGTAAAATTTTTTCATTCAAGCAAACTAATCTTATGCTCATTAAGATAATTATCCTGAGGTGGTCAAACTGAGTTAATTCCTATTTCCTGTATATACTCTCTATTCCTGCTTATATGGCCTTGCCTAGGATTCCCTTACCCCATAGACAAATCCTACCTACCTCTTAATAAATTCAATGGTGACTCTTCCATGAAAGGTTTCCATAAATCTCAACTGAAAGAATTATTATCTTTGTAAAATATTAACTCTTTGCTTATGATACTTGGCATAATGACCACTAATTTAAAATGCGGAAAGCCTGTTTAAAGTTCCAGTTCAACACTGACTGACTGAATGGTACAGTGTGACCTGTACCTTTATGTACCTCATTGTATTGATCCGACAAAGAGGAATACTAGAACTTGTAGCAGAGACAATGCTTTTTGCTTCTCACATTATTGTCTTTTTATGGGCCCATGGGAAAATAACATTTCCCAACTTCTCCTGGACTTGTATTCAGGTCATATGACTGATTCTGATCAAGAAAATGTGAACAGAAATGACTCGTATTGAATTAGACTGAGGGCGTTAGCAGCTGGTGGGCCTCTGACTGTGCTGTCTCCTTTCCCGGTAGCCATGTGTTGAGTTGGAGCTTGCTAGGACTGAGAATTATGACTGGTCAAAGATTTTAATCTCTCTGATCCGTGCTTGAAGGAGAACACTTGCTGACCCCATAAGGCACTTTGCATGAGTGAGAAATAAACCTTTATTGAATAGGTCATAATAAAGGTTTTAACGGTTGTAGGAATTAACTCATAATCATGAATAGCTTATCTCATTCTGACCTATGCTCTCCTATCTCACAGAGTTGAGGTGCAGATCCAGTGAAGAAGAGCATTTTTTGGACATATAATATATACTAAGTATTATGCTAAATTTTTTACCTATATTAACAAATGTAATAATATATTGAAGGTATCTTGGAAATTATAAATATTTATTGTATGAAAGGATTAATAGTTTATTTCTACACAAGTCTTCTCATTTTACATTTACATCTCATTTACATACAGAATCTCTTTTCTGTAGATTCTTTAAGAAGGGATTGGAATATAATTTGTCAGAGGCAGTATTGCAAGTATTTAAAAATGTTGGCTTTAAATGCAAATCTTATCCATGCCACTTACTAGCTGTGTGACTTTGTACAAGTTACTTAATATTTCTGTTCATGTTTACTCATATGT